AGGAAGAGGCGTCGGAGTGGCCGGATTCTAATAAATGCCTCAAAGGTGCCGCAGCGCTTCTCGTGGGTTCTATTCAAGGGAGGGGCTTGAGTAGTTTAGGGGAAAGGAGTCAGAGGGCAATGACCCCTCCTACGCCGGACTCACGTTGTCCGGTTCTTATCCACTTCCTTACTTCGTCCCTAAACACATTTAGGCCCATAGAATGTCTAAAATTTAGGATAAAATCTCGTGTGTGTGTGTGTGTGAGAGAGAGAGAGCTAAAGAGAGAGGGGGGGAAAGGAGACCCGTAATCCCGTTAAACCAAGACAAGGATTTAAAGACACTTAATCCAGATGCTTTGATTTACACTTTCCTTTCAGCAGGACATTTCGCATTTCGAGCCCTGGGCTTCCCCCGCCCCTTCCCTCCAGCCAAAGTGAAGCACCTCAAGCGTTGATTTCGATTTCTGGGGAGGTGAGCTAAAATCAGCTCCGTGCTCTCCTCTTCTTCGGGTGAAAAACCGACCTGCCTAAGAGACGTTACATCTCTTTTACTGTATTTTCTTTCAATCGGACAGTGCAGATCGGTTGTGTAGGGAACTGTCTCTGGAGCCTGCTCATTTACGCAGAAATGGTTCCTACGGATTTCGGTGGAACGGACTGAAATCCTGGAAGGGCTGAACAGCAACAAATCAGCCCTCGAAAGAGTACTTTTTTTGGAACCACCACTTCCAAGATCCGGTTCGGGGGCGGGAGTTGTAGTCCAAAGAAACACCTTAAGCTCTGGAACGAATGAATGGATGTAAAGTTTCTGCTGGCTGTTCAAGGTGACATAATGGATAGACTGACGGACTAGGACCCCGGATATCGGTGTTGGGAGTGTGTGTGTCCCCCCCCCCGCGTCATGGAAACTGTCAGGGGGAGTGGAGCTCGTAAAGTCACTCTTTCGAGGGCTCCTTTGCCTTGAAAGCCCTATTTTTAGGGCCGCTATAAGTCGGATCCGACTTGACAGCACAGATCACGCGCATAAACTTTTCACCAGCTCTTGCCTTCCAGCTCAGTTACAAAGAGGGCAGGCGGAGGGTCTCTTTCTGGCTCGTTCCTTCCCCCTCCCTGCTTAACAAAAGCCAGCCTGTGGCTGACAGGTTTTCATCTAATTGCCCAGTTATGGATCATCATCGGAACCGTTGGAAGGAGCACACATGGCCACGCGGCCCTTCTTAGCGGCTTTAAACGCCTCATTAACGGATGGCTGGGGCTTGCGGAGCCAGCTGGGAAACCCACAAGGCTCCAAATCAGATCACAGAAGGCAAGCCAGGCTTGCGGAGCGAGGGGCCGAGAGCAGCGCTCGCTCCAGGGAGCAGCAGATCCAAAGGAGCGTTAGGTCCGCTGCTCCCGGATTCCGACCCCGAAGTCCCGGCCTGAGGGTGCGCTTCTCTTCCCTGGAAGAAGGCCTCCCAACCTCGCAAGGACAAATTGGGAGACCCGGCTGCGTTGGCACTAGATCGCAGGAAGCTACGCTAGCATCGCCCTGCGCAGCGCCGGGAGCAGTCACTAATTGCGAGCTGAATCGTGTCCAAATTCCACGTGTACCCGATGGGAATCCCAGCCCAACACTTGCGCAGGGCTTTTATGAATTGCGACTCTCTTAAACTGAACGAAGTAAACGGAAGTGGTTGGGCAGGAAGGCCGCATAATGACTTTTACTTTTCTGGATACACATTATCATACGCATAAAAAATAAAACATTTTTAAAAATGTTTAAGGCGGAGCTACTGAAAAACTACACACGTACACGCAAGCACGGAAGCTCTCACACACTTTGGCAGATGGATTTGTGTCGCCCTGGAGGCGTTTTTTTAGAAATTAAGAAAGTGCTTAAAGAAAGTTCACAACTTTTGAGATTTTAAATCGTAGTTTTTCACTGTTTACACCTGACCGTCGGAATAGCTTTTTTTTCTTTTCTTTTTAAGAGATTAGCCAGTTCCTACTCTGGTCCCTTAAAATCCATTTGCTCGGAACGGTGTGGAAAAGCGTACAAGGCTCTTTTTGTCAGGGGGACCTCGAAGGTCCGTAGGAGAGGAGAAGGACGAGCCTTGGAGGTTCGCGGGGAGAAAGGAGAGGCGAGCCTGAGTCTCCCGTCCATCTTAATCGACGAGAGGAGCGGGAGAGAGATGTGGGTTCTCCCGGGCGGAGGAAGTCCGTCCGGGCTAGAGATAAGTACCTCTGTAAGTGCCGGGTGGTGTCGCATTGTGGGTCCTGAGTGTTTACATTACGCGGGGAGGAGGGGGGAGGGGGGCGCCTGAGACTCCGAAGTGTTTGTGAAACCTATTAAAAAGCTCCAACCATCGCGGCGAAGTGGAGTGTGAGGTGCTGGAGGTGAGGGGGGGGGAGGAGGCAACACTCACAAAATGTTATTGTTATGCCGGGCCCCCGTCTTGTTTGGTCTAATATCCCCCCCGCCTCCTCCCCCCCCTTCCACCAGCTGTTGCGAGCGCTGTCATTGTGGCATTTCATTCGCGAGGTGACAAAAGGCGCTCCCTCTGTCTCTGGGTCCCGATCTCTATCCCCATTGGCTGGGCGGAGGAGGAGGGGGCGGGCGCCCCGGCCCGTTCCATTGAGCGGAATTCGCCGGCGCGACATCAGTCGCCTGCCCCCGCCCGCCTCCTCGCGCTCATTGGCGCAGCCGCCCGTCCAGGACAATAACATCATTTGCTGCCGGGCCGGGCTAAGCGAGGGGGGCTATAAAAACGCGCGCCAGGCGCCAAGAGGGCCTTATTAATAACGGTGCTCCGGGACGAGCCGCGCCAGCCGGGCTGGAGTGGACCCGGCCGGCCACAGAGGACTTCTCTTCCCCCTGCCGACGAACTGTAAGTGCGCCGTCCCGGGGACTCGCCAGCAGCTTCCCTTTCGCGCCAAGCGGCTCCCTCCAAACCCCGGGGATCGAGGGAGACCCCGTCCAGCGGCCCACCCTAACCCCCACCCCACCCGGAGCGATCCCTGCCCAAACTCCTCGCCTGGGAGGAAGAAAGTTTCGCCCGCCCGCCCGCCTACCCGTCGAACTTACTCCCACGTCCAGGGTCCAGCGCTGGTAGTCGCTGCTCACTTTGGGGACGGCTAGGGGGGGCGGGGGGACGGTCAAGGGACCGGTGAAAAGTGAAAGCCAAGAGCGAGGGCTCTCCGGAGCGCTGAAGGGAGGAGATTCCTTGCCCTCTGTGTGAGCTTTTTACGAGGGTGAAATCTTGCCCCTTCTTTCCCGAGAAGTTCCTTCCTTCTACACAGTGCCTGAAGGCAGATGGCTCGGAGGCGGTTCTTTCGTTCGCTCGTTTTACTTTCCAAGGGCTACTTAGGAAGTAAACGACTTGATTCAGGCCTCGACCCTCATTCCAGGCTTTGCTGTAGTACCTCGGAAAGGTCCGAAAGTCGTTGTGGTTTGTTCTTTCACAAAGTGCTGCTGTGGTACCAGATGCAAGCGAGACCTTCGGAGACCGAGGGAGGCAGGGAACAAATTCTAGACCAGCTATAAGGACATCAAGTTGGACAGCGCCTGATCCGAAATCCCTTGGCAGAAAAGACCTGCCCTGGAGCATTCACGTCGGATGGTCGCCCTCCCTGCTGCTGGTGTGGCTAATCCAATGGGAAGCGGGGGGGGGAGGCAATAGTGCCCGAGGGGGCGGCCCAGAGTTTGGGAGTAGAAGGTTATAGTCCGAACTAGAAAGCGGCTAAACTTACTCTTAAACAGAGTTTGTGGGAATCCAAGGACTAGATTTCGGGTCAACTGGTTCACGTTTAGGATTTATCTCTTCCCACTGCTAACCACTTTTTGTCCTTATTGAGCTTTAATGAACGTTTTGTGCCTGCAGTGGAGGGCGGGGGGACATTTTGGTTTGTGGTTATGGATATATTTCAGTCACTGTAAATAAAAAAAAAAATCATTATGAGGGATCTATTTACCACAAGCAAATTAAGATTTTTTTAAAAAACGAAAATTACACTGTTCGTGTCTGCCTATTAGCTGTGATTCGACCAAACTAACCATTGATTCAGTAAAATCTAACTGAGATCAATGAGATTTAGGGGGCCATTTTTTCAAGTGGAACCAATTTCCACTCATTTTTACCGGACAGGTTCCTTTGCTAAAAGTCCTTCTAAAAACCAACGGGGCACGTTTTTAAATGTGTTTCCTCGAAAGTAAGTTCGAGGGGGGGGGGAAAGTAAGTTCCCTCCATTCTGGCCGAACTGACCTGCGAGTGTGCTTAAGATGCACTCCAGTTGATGTAGAGATTTTTCCCTCTCCCGTCTTGGAGCCTCGTCCCCGGGCGTCCCAGCCGCATCCCGGGGATCGAGGCCGGCCCCTTCCACTCGAGCCCCTCGCGGACGGCTTGGCTTTGGCCCTGACTGACGCGGAGCGCCTCTGTCCCCTTCCTCCTCTCCTCCGCAGGCACCCAGCCCGGAGGGCGGCCAGCATGGACTCCGACGCCAGCCTGGTGTCCAGCCGCCCTTCTTCGCCGGAACCCGACGAGCTCTTCGTGTCGGCCAGGAGTAAGAGCGGCGGCGGCGGCGGGGGCTTCTCCTCCTCGGCGGCGGGCGGCGCCGTCTCCAGCTCGACCCCCAGCGATTCCCCGGCCGAGCTGAGCGCCGAGCTGCGCAGCGCCATGAGCGCCGCCGGGGTGGTGATGGTGGACAAGCTGGCCTTCAAGTCGCCCTCGTCGTCCTCGTCCTCCTCCTCCTCCTCCTCCTCGGCCTCCTCCTCGGCCTCCAAGAAGGACAAGAAGCAAATGACGGAGCCGGAGCTGCAGCAGCTGCGCCTCAAGATCAACAGCCGCGAGCGCAAGCGGATGCACGACCTCAACATCGCCATGGACGGCCTGCGGGAGGTGATGCCTTACGCGCACGGGCCCTCGGTGCGCAAGCTCTCCAAGATCGCCACCCTCCTCCTGGCCCGCAACTACATCCTGATGCTCACCAACTCCCTGGAGGAGATGAAGCGCCTCCTCAGCGAAATCTA